CTTGTCATTAATGTGTGTATAAAGTCCTTGAGTTACCCTCCACCTACTCTAGGAGCAGTCAGATAAGGTTCACTGGAGTCGCCTCTGGTAGGAAGCAACCTTTCTGTCCACCTCACTGTGCACTATGAATTTCATCACTTTTTTTTATAAGTGCTATGATGAAGGGGGAAAGAAACAATGGGAACTGGTGTTTAGAGTAATATATTGGGGTAATGCTTAGCCACTTCTCCCATGGTGGTATTTGTGTGTGACTGTAAAAGGAAAGACAAGAAGCCAGGATTGAAGAACAGCACAATCCTACCATTCATTCTGTGATACAGTTATGGTGAACGTTCTGTCAGGTGGGATGTTAACAGTTTGCAGTCCAAATGGAAGTACATGAGAGAACAAAGGGAGGTGATGTTAATAAGTACCCTTGATGTCCAGTAGAAACCAAGCTTGCTCTGCACAAGCGATGACATATGAGCGCAATGTACCACTCCAATTTCACAGACTTTTAAAAAGCATACTTTGCCTTAAGGCTGAAAAAGAAGAGCAATCTAAAAGGATTGACAAAAACAAGTTTTGCTCTAACTCTCTGACCTATGTACTCCTTTGTATTCTTCACCTATCCCTGATAGAGATGACCTTTAACAGTTTTTCTTGTATGATTACCATGTTCTTCTGAAATCCCCAGAAAAGACCAGCTGTGTTTGTCTCCCGTTCTTATGCATAAGATCCCATCCAGTATACCTTGTTTTCTCTCACTTTGTCTTTTCTTACTTGCTCACTTTAGAATAATAGCTCCATGGTATTCCATTGCGCCTTTAATATTACCTCTACTTTGTGAAAGGCTCTCATGTTGCTTCCAGTCTTTTGCTATTAAAAACAGTGCTGGAAGATGTAACCCTGTGTCTGAATCATTTCGTAGATATTATATACAAAGTTTTAGAAGGGGAGTTCCTGGGTACACATGCAAATGTACATGAAATTTGGTAAAGATTACTAAATTTTCTTCAAAAGTAGTTATGTTATTTTATTCACTGCGATAAAATGGATATGTTTCTCTATAGCAATTTCAAAGAAGTGTTTTTAGTAAACTCAAATACTTGTGAATATGAAAGGCAAGACATTATATACTGTCATACTTTTAAATTTCAAATCTAGCTTAGTATGTGTGCAGCATAATTTTGCCTTGTGTTAAAGGAAACTTAATTTTTATATTACTGGCTTATCTGAAGTTCTGTCTCACCTGCATCCCCTTAAGAAAAGGACAGTATTTTCTGTTTTTTTCCTTTTTTTTTGCATCTAATTCCTATTCCCAGAATAAGATCTGGAGCAAAAAAACAAAAAACAAAAAACAAAAACATATTTTAAACTCTTGTCATTTCTCCTATATCTCACAACATTTTAGTTATACTTAATATTATTGCTTCTAACTTTTAATTATATTTTTAAATAATGTATCATGTAAAACATAAATTAAAAAACTTAAATGACTACAACCTTACAATGACTTAATTTCTGAAAAATACATAGTATTTTCTCCAATATTAGCAATGATATTGTGACTTTCTGAATGTGTTGAACTCTGCTTTTTGCTTCCTAAAATATTTTAATGTCAGTAATGTTAGATACAATCTTTCTTAAAAAATCATTATATCCTTGATGATATCAGGGCGTGTTCTTTTCTTTTGGTCCATTCTGAAAACAGAGCAAATGCTGAGTTAATTCCCTCCAGGGATAAGGAATGACACAAAAGGGAAGACAAGGGAGTAATCTCTCCTGAATATACCAAGACAACATGTGGAAGCCTAAATGCTTTAGTATTTATTTCTGCACCAGTTGATTCTTGATAATATCTATAATTGGGATTATAATGTACTGAGGGATTTATGGCAGATTAATTGTGTGCTGAGGCATCACTGCACAGGCATTTTATGCTACCCAGCTAATACTGTTTATGCAAATAGGGAACTGTATCCAGATATGCAAATGATGTAGAAAATCTGTTTTGGAATCTGGCTCACAAAAGAAGAATGTAGAAGTAAAAATATGATGAGGATATATGGAAGAATGAAAACAGAATTAATATGACCACTCTAAGTAGAGCTCACTCTGAACACACTCTTGATCTGAAGAATGGAGAGATGATAAACCTATGCTGCCTCTGAAATTCAGATGACAACAAGGGCTGTCTTGGTGCTTGGGAGTGTTAGAGATGCAGTAATGTAGCGAAGAAAATTTGCAAATATCCACCCTGGAGAATCGCTGAGTATTCCAGAGGAAGTGGGATATAGAGCAAATGTTGGAAAACAATGACTGAGGCTTTCAAGCTTTCCAAATACTGAGGAGATAATTTCCAATCTCTTAGTTTACATGAGCATTTTCATAAACAAATATCTTTTTTCTTCTCACTCAAAAATCTCCACCTGTCCAAAAAAAAGAAAAAAACCTTTTCTAAGTTGATATTAGGATACCCCCTATTTTCTTTTGATTTAATGTGATGGTTACTAAACTTTTATGATTACCTCTTTGCTATAAATATAATTTAGTACCTTGCTTGTCCGTACCTCTGCCTCAGAAAAATCAAAGTATGTTTGGATTTATGAGTTATTCCAATATTTTACTTCCAATAGATACTTGCTTTGTATGGTTTTTCTGAACTCCATATGCATCCAAAAGTACACTCAGAGATAATACTTAGCTGAGATCAAAGCTCAGATGAAAAAATCAGAATTTTGTTGAAAGTAATAAGGTTATGAATATAACTGAAAGTGGCCATGAAAAAGTTGGCTAGTATCATGACGATTTCCATCATAAAAATAACAGCAGGGTGTCTGGAATAAGAAATAATAGCAATCGTGTTGATAGAGACTGAGAACCCTGTGCAGAGAACTGTGCCTAAGCCATCTGATAAGGAATAGTTGGGAAAATGAATAAATAATGGTGGACACTTTGGAAGCAGGTGGTAGCACGAAATAGCAAGTAGAGAGGGTAAGCAGAAAAGTAAAGGTAGTACCCTTGAGGATTGTGCTAATGGGCAATGAAATTAGTAGTGATAAATGAAAAACCTCCTTGCAAAAAGAATTTTCAAGAAGGTGACCTTGGGCTGAGGATTTAGCTCATCGGCACAGCACCTGTCTGGCAAGTGCGAGGTCATAAGTTCGATTCCCGGTACCAGAAAAAAAAAAAAAAAAGGTGACCTTGACTTCAGGATGTGCAAGATGTTATTCTATACTCATGCTGTAAGATTTGTAAGTGGTTGTCTCTTTCTTTCTTTCTTTCTTTCTTTCTTTCTTTCTTTCTTTCTTTCTTTCTATCTTTCTTCTCTCTTTCTTTCTCTCTTTCTTTCTTTCTGTCTTTCCTTTCTCTCTCTCTCTCTCTCTCTCTCTCTCTCTCTCTCTCATTTTCTTTCTATCTTTCTTCCTTTTCACACTGGAGATTGAACTGGGGCATTCTTTCATTGAGGTACATCCACAGACAGTTTTATTTTTATTTTAGTTTGATACATGACCTCACTTGTTCAGGTTGGGCTCAAACTCAAAAACTTCCTCAGACCTGAAAGTGCTGGAATTGCAGTGTGTACCACAGATATTGCCTCTTTAACTGATCACTCTATAATAATGGCAAATCTCTTAGTGGCCCAGAGGAGGTAATATCCCTAGGATAAGATTCCAGAACCCAAAAATGAGGTTTGTAAAGTTGTTCACAAAATAAAACATATGTGTTTCACTACCTTGTACCCAAGTTTCTGTCCCAGGAGCACCCATACTGAGAGTTGGTCTTCCCACCTCCACGGAACAAAAAATAAGGAGCACCTTGGAGACCCACATTTCCAGGAAAAATGTAACTAGGGAAATGTATTGGGGCAGTAAAGATGCCATGGTGAATCCAACAGTTTCTGTTGTCATACAAGAGTTAAACAATGGGCAGAGACTGTACAGGAGAGGTGAAAGTAGCTAAAGAAGAGAATGAGAAGGTGACTTTAGTCTTTTCTGAATGAAGCCTATTCAGGTGTAGAAATAAAAGTCTGAGAACGTTGATGTAGACCACACATCACAATAATCTAACAAATGTCTTTTAATGACTTTTAAGAATCATAGACTAAAAGACTTGTAAACAACTTCTTAAAAAAATCACTTAATTTTTTTTCATTTTGTGATAGAGGAAAGTGTGGTCAAGAAGAAATGATCAGCCTCAATATTCATTTTGGACAAAACAAGTTTACAAAGTGTCAAAGCAAATTTACAAAGCTAACTGCCCAAACAATGGTTGAGTTTTTTCTACTACAGCCTTTCCTGCCCTGTGAAATGTGGACCTTACAAGCTTCATTCATTCTCTCCTCTCCCCAAACCTATTAAAATTACTTTTTCACGCCTCCCTTTGGCATCCTTCCAAACAATCCATCCTGTCTGCTTTTCAATTATTCGCTTTATGTTGCAGTTCTGAGCTTTGGGAAATGCCAGGTGAGTACCCCCAATTATTTATTTCCCTTTAGCCTTTAATGAGAACATTGCTAAATTCTAGAGAGTCTTCCTGAGGGAATCTTAGAAGTCACCTTTTAGAAAGCATATGTTTCCCTTTCACACAGTTCAGTATGGCTGGTTGTTGAATACAGAGTGTAGGATATGGGTGAATAAGTTCAAGTATAGTGGAATATTTTATTTGGGAATGCAGAAGAATGAACAAGAGAAACTTCTTGTCTTTTATATTCTGGCAGGGGAGAGTGGAAGAAGAATCTGTAACCTGAGATTCTGATGCTACTGTGTAGGACAAGTGCTCCTGTGAAGCGAGGAACCCAAGCTCCTCTCCAACTCTGTCAGCAACAGGTATTGTGTGAATCATTTCTGACTTCTCATGTTTAGTTCCTCTTTTGCACTGTGAATGGGATTGATTTGATAATCTCTAAATTCTTTTCTGGCATTTGTCTTCTGCTTTTTTGGTTAAGAACAAATTTCTCAAGAGGAAGAGTCCTGAAACTATTCATCTTCTGCCTTTACCACTTGCTCCTAGGAATCATGGATCATGTCAACCACACCTGGATCCAGACTTTCGTCCTTGCTGGCTTCACTACCCCTGGAACCCTAGGACCTCTTGCCTTCTTGGGGACTCTGTGTGTTTATCTCCTCACCCTTGCAGGGAACTTGTTCATCATTGTCCTGGTTAAGACAGATTCTGGGCTCTCCACACCCATGTATTTCTTTATCAGTGTCCTGTCCTTCTTGGAGGTCTTTTACGTCAGCACCACGGTACCCACCCTGCTGTACAACTTGCTTCATGGCAGCTTACCCATTTCTTCAACACTGTGTTTCACACAGCTGTATATTTTCCATTCCTTGGGACTGACTGAGTGTTACTTGCTGTGTGTCATGGCACTGGACCGCTACCTTGCCATCTGCCGCCCACTCCACTACCATGCAATCATGAGCAGACAGGTACAGCAATGGTTAGCAGGTGCCACTTGGTTGGCTGGCTTCTCATCTGCACTTGTGCCAGCCAGCCTCACTGCCACTCTGCCCTACTGCTTGAAACAAGTAGCCCATTACTTCTGTGACCTGGCACCTCTAATGCAGTTGGCTTGTGTGGACACAGGCTGGCACGCTCAGGTCTATATTGTGGTGATTGGCCTGATCAACACCTGCAATCTTCTTATCATTTTAGGGCTCTATGGAGGCATCTTGAAAGCTGTGCTGAAGCTGCCATCAGCTGCCAGTCGTGCAAAGGCTTTCTCTACCTGTTCCTCCCATATAATAGTAGTAACTCTATTCTATGGTTCTGCTTGGATTGTATATGTGGGCCCACCTGTGCTGCACTCTGAGGGCAGAGACAAGTTTATTGCTCTTGTTTATGCTTTTCTTACCCCTTTTCTCAATCCTATTATTTATACCCTTCGTAACAGGGAGGTAAAAGAGGCTGTTAGAAGAGTCACACGAAGAATTAAGGGTGAACTGAAGAAACCTTGACATTGTGTTTGCCTGTGAACCATTACTTGATAATTGTAGGGTGTTAGTCAAGAAAATCAATTGACCACCCATTGGTTAAATCAAATGCAAAATGGAGAACTAAAATGGCGTGACTTTTGGAGGAGAACAAATTGAGAAATGTTGAAAGCAAGGAAATATGGTGCCACAAACTACTAATAAGGGGAAAAGTGAAGAAATAAGAGCAGTGACAAAGAATGAAGTGCAATTGTTTGGGTTAACTTGGAAACTGTGAATGAGATTGAACTATGTTGAGAGAATCTGAAGAACTAAAACTGGTTATGAGGCTTTGATCAATATTAAACTCATGGAGAATGGTAAGAGGGCATAAACTGAGCTCAGTCAGAAGAAAAATAAGGGCCACCATGGATAAATGTTTTGACAGGGATTGGTGAGCTATGAAAAAAGGTCCATAGGAGTGTATATCTGTGGGTCTCTGTTATCCTACAGTAAAAGGATGTTTACTGTAAGTAGAGAATTTCTTCTCTGTTAGTGAAGGGCAGAAGATTGGAAACAAAGCTGCTGCTCAGCAAATTGATGACCTAAATGGAGTTACAGAAATATATCCTGTACTTTGAATTTGAAATAATCAATCAACTAGAAAACATCATTATTGGAGTCCCCTGTGTACAAACCTATCTCTGGGAATGAAGAAAAGATGTAAAAAGTGAGCACATTTTCTGTTCTCAAGAAGTTTAAAGTTGGGTTTGAGAATCCTCCCCACTCTCTTCCTCCCGCTTGTACACATACTCACACTCGCCTGCAAGCAGCAGCAGGAACATATCATCTAATGATTTTTCTCTCTGTGTATCTGCAGTAACAGGAAGGCATCAAAAATGAGAAGCGTATGGATTGCCAGATGCGGCTGAGTAAAACCAAAGTATGTCTCAGAGAAAATCACTCTGACCCTTACCCTAGTAGCCTCAAACTTGGAATCCCAGTTCTCTGAGGGCCCCGGTGGCCTAAAGCTGTATGAGTCTTCCGGGAATTTCTGTGTCTTGGAATAAAAAGTGGGCAAAAAGTCATTTAAGCAAACAGGAATTCTGTAGACAGTACTTTTTTAGTTTTAGTACAATAGTAAATGAGTTTATTTCCTATTTTTGAATAATGCTTTTAAAATGCTCCATAGTGGAAGATGGCATGGTGTTTATTTTAACTAATTTAAAGAGAAAAAACGAACAACAAAGAAAAAGTGAACAAGAAAAAAAAGTGTGGGATGATATATGGTAGCATGGATCTCCCTCTTAATTTAATGATCTTGACTCAAATCACCAATGTTTCAAAATCTCAAGTTGTTAAATGTGGATAGGCTGTCCAATTTGAAGTTTCTATGAAAATGCAGCCTCAGGTAATTTTCCCTGACTATGTTTATATCTGGACTATACTCTCTGCTGAGATATTTTGTAGTCTCTGAGTAAAAAAGAATTAATTTTAATATTATTAAACCATAAAGATTAATCATGTGAGGGAGAGAAAACAAAGAATAAGGATCAAGTCTGTGATTCTTTTCCTTTCACCCATTTTCTTTTGTGGTCAAAGTAAGTTTTCTTTTGTGGTGAGAAGAGGATAGATTCAAGTCTTAAGGTAAACCAACACATAACTTTAGAAGACCTATTTTGAGTAAACACTATTTATAGATGGATGAATGCCACCAGGAAGACAACAAATCATGACTTTTTGACATATGTAGCATTTTTCAAGTCATCTGGCTAAAACTTGTCTGTCTTCCATGAAGAGAAAATAACTTGAAATGTTACGGAGAAATTTAAGGTAGTACCATGGTCTCTAATTTTCTTCTTCCTTTAACCTGAGGCGGAAAGTCTATGGCATTGAGCATCACTAAGCAGAGGGGAGAAGAAAGGCAGGCTTTATGAGGCACCAGCTTCCTCTGCAGGGCTGTGTTATCCATAGGCAACACTCATTCCTGTAGCCAGTGTGGCCTGCCAGAGAATTTTCCAAGGCTTTCCTGGTCAGTCTTTTTGCTACTACTACTTGCTATTGAAACAGTTTATTTAGTATAAATCCAACTTGTTGTCTTCCAAAATTGAAGAATAAATTTGAAAATAAAAGGAGGAGTTGAGGAAAGTTTTATTAGAAATAATAAGAAGAAAGCTCTTGGTGGATATCCACAGAAAGGGGAAAGAATTCCAATGAGCTTTCTTTGTCTTGGTATTACATAGCTATCAGAGCATGTTTTCATGTTGTGAGTGGGGAAAGGTCAAAGGAAATGAGTTTAAAAGAATTAAGGAACAAACTGGCTGCTTTGCATTTTTAATGCTTTCTCTAGTTCAGTCCAGAAGTCCAGGTCCAGAGGTAGAGATGAGGTGTTAAGGGTGTTGGATAACAGCCTTAACATACCTTGAATGAATCTTCTTCTTGGAAGAAAGAGTGCTCATCTTGTCCCAACATTTCATTCTTTTTTCTTATATTTTCTTTTACATTTCTAAGTTTAGTTAGTTCTTTTTTTTTTGTTTTTTTCTGGTACCGGGAATCGAACTCATGACCTTGCGCTTGCCAGGCAGGCGCTGTGCCGCTGAGCTAAATCCCCAGCCCCTGCTCAGTTCTTCATTAACTGGATTAAATTATCTCTTTTATCTGACTCTTATGTGAGGCTACTCTTTTTACTGGCCATTTAGACTCGTATTTTCAGGTTCATATGCTGCCTCTGACCAAATCAATGTCGCCCATGTATTCAGGTGAAAACAGAAAAAGAATTTATTGAAAGATAACTCTGAGGAGATGAAGGGGCCTATTTGCCTCCAATCACCATCTTACTGGCTACAGGTGGGCAAGGGTCTTTTAGAAGAAAGGACAGGGGGGAGGAGAACACAGAGAGACAATGCAGATCTTCACGCATGCTTTGTCACTTCCAGCCATCTTCAGCTCATTGTTTCCTCCTTGCGGAAAGGAACTGGGCTCCAGCCTTCTCAGCATTAATATATGTTTTCCTTGTCTGGGCTGAGGAAAGGTGAGGGAAGCCCCTCACCTATAGCCTAGGCCTCAGGAAACCACTTGTCTCTAAAAGAAAAATACCTGACTTTAAAGGTTTCACTTTGTAGTGCAGATTACAGTTCTTCCCTTCTTCTTTCCAAGCGCCAAGTCTTCAGGACCTCGAGGTGCCACACCATCTGGGTGCCTGTCTTAGTTGGACTGGCACATAGATTCTAGCAAAGATTGTTGGAGCACAAGTAAAGGGAAGCCAGATTCTTGAGCCTGAAAAAGTATCACTAAAAGTTGTGAAGTCAAATACCAAAGAAAGGCAAAGTCAGGAGATATCTAACCATTGCACCTGCTAACAGGGCCTTTTGCTTTTTGGAAGTCATGCATAAGATCATTTTTTCATAACCTCTGCAG